AAAAAAATTGAATTAAAAAATTACACAAAAATATAAAAAAAATTAAATAGTTAATTTGATACTAATATCGATATATTTTTGTCAAATTTTTATGATATTTTCAAATTTATATTTTATTAAAAAATAAAAATATAATCGCTTTCTTAAAAACACATAAGATCATGTTATAACATCGATTGAAATAAATAATAAAATAAAATATTAAAATTAAAATTAAAATATATGTCGCTGGATCCTCCTCACAATAACAAAAAGGTATAATTTAAATTTCCAATTTTCTTCATTCTTCTCCAATGCCTCCAAGATACCTCGTCTGTTGCTTTGCATCTCTGTTTGGGTTTGATTTCCTCTATGGCTTGATTTTCTCCATATGCTCTCCACGTTTGATTTCTCGTATGGCTTCAATAAATCTGTATTAGGTAGGATAAAACCTCTATCGCTCTCTCTCTGTTTGGGTTTGATTATGAATTTCTCTGTTTGGGTTTGATATCCTCTATCGCTCTTCATCTCAAAGCTAACACACCTAATTGATGGCCTGTGCAATGGTTAATGTATCTCCTACCTATACTGGAATCCAGGAAAGCTGTCTAGGGTTTGGAATCTATAGCAGGTTTGAAACCCGGTGGCATTGTTCAGTTAAAGGTTATGTATTGATTATGTTCTTTGCTATGCTTTGGTTTAGGTATGCTTAATCCCTCCATCGATAATGTCTTTATTTTCTTCCACATAGAACTGTTTGTTTTGTTACAGTTCAAATGAAATCGGCAAAAAGGGGAGAAGACATCATCGTTTTGCTTTGGTTAGTTTAGTTGAGTCTTCTTCAATTTCAACAAACCTACTATAGATTCCAAATCACTTTTTGAGATTATCGTGTCTATAAGAAAAGACATACAAAATTCCTTGATACTTTGCTTATTATCATAAACACATACTTGATCCTCGAAGTTCGCAATCAAAACATTTGAGGAACCTAACATGTTTGTTTCTTTGACACCTCTACATAGAAGTTCAACAGGGTTACTTCACAAGTCCTGTTTGAAGAGATAAAAGAATATATTTGAGATTGGTTTGCATATTGAACCAATAATAAGTACCCCACCCTCTCCCTCTCCCTTAATCTTAATTTTAGTTTTATCCCTTTAGTTGCACTGAGGGAGAAGAGAACTCTGAAATTCAACAGATGATGAAGATCCCCATATCAAATCAAGTTTGTGATGAGGAGCAACATTGGAAAGATTAGGAACATGGGAAACCAATAAAAGATCTCATGGAAGAGTTAAAATTGGCCAATAAATATTTTACTTAATATTTTAGGGACAAACAATTTCTTTTCCGGAATTTGTTCATATCTATGTGTATTTGTCGAGGAGTTGTTACTAAAGAACTACGAGAAGGACTATTTTGGGTGCAGGTTCTTGAACAAAGGGTGAAGACTTCCGAAAGGGAGCTGGATGCTGCCATTTCAGCTGCGGCTTATGCTCGTACAGAAAAACGTCAGGGGACAGAAGGCTGCTGAATTACTAGCACTGGAAATCACAAAGGAGTTGGAGAACACCACAAGTATGCACTTCACCTCCCCTCCCCCTTTCTACATAAAAACATTATTTAACTGATTCTACATATTTTTTGAACTTTTGGATCCTAGCTTAGACCAAGGTTAGTGAGCCAGTAGTTAGACCCCTGAATCCTAGGTTAGATTGGGGGTGCATAGTCCTTCCTATCCTACCTTGGTTATAAATTCGGTTTCTCATTTTTATTTTGGTTACACCAACTCAAGTTTGTGACGGGCAACAACTTTGGGAAAATTAGGAGCATGGGTGCCGAAATGTAATTTGTTCTCTTTACTCCTTGTGTTCTAAAATGCTTCAATGCAACTTTTTTTGGGGTTGGAGGAGGGGGATGACAAGCAATTAGTCCTACACGCCCTAATTCTCATTTACTTGGAACTATTAAGTTACATGAATTCCTTCATGCGGGTTTACTATACTATATAGAGATATGCAACCGAACTCTACCTGGAGAACAAGAAAAAATGGCAAGACTTAAATGTCCCATCTCAATTACCCATGGCCATTTTTGAACTCATTTTCTAGATAAAAGTAATCTTAATTGCTGCTCGAAGACTTGGGCCCCCCTTCAGCTAGAAAATTAATGCCACTAATATTCTAAACACAATCTACAAATATGGGCAGGCATCTATTGAATAGAAAGAACAACATATAAGTGATTTTCAGCAAGTATAACCTTCAAATGACCATCAACCGTCCCTAGCCATTTGCTGCCAGCCACAAAATAGGCATCATCTCCACTTGTCAAAATAAGCATCATCTTCTTACTTCATATACCTTACAGATTGAGCAAGAAAATCTTACTCGGTAAGTGGCATAGCAAAGACCAAGAGTCTTACTCGGTAAGTTAGGGAAAAGACTTGTAATTATAATTAGAGCCATCTATTAAAATACTATCAAGTACAACTCTAAATTACTTAAAGCCATCTGTTAAAAATTCTCAAGTATTGTTTATTAATCTATATAGCCCACAAGACAACATTTATTATTAATCCTGACATCCAGTTTTTACTTAAACAACTCCAATTGCTGAAAAATGAAGAGAGCTGAATCGACTGAAATGTAGAGGAAATAGACATGTCAAATGTTCGTTTTTAGTGGTGACCTGTGTTTATATAAAACTATTTTGTGCTGTAGAGTTAACAGAGTTAACTTTTTAGTGAAGGTTCTTGATGGGTGTTTACTTATTCAGGCAGGAAATTACTTATTCAGGCAGGAAAGTAAAACAACTAACAAAGTTAATTAGGTCATTGAAGGTTCCTTATGGATATTTACTTATTCGAGATTAAGTAGACAGAATCACGGGCAAGACGGATCTCATTTACTATGAACAGATAAATCCCATTTTAGTTGTTGGTAGCAACCCCTGTCTAAGACGAATCTTAGGGTATTCGAAGATAATTTACTGGTTTTATTTTGTAGTTGTTATCTTAAGTTTTCTTTGTGCGGATTGATTCTTAATTAGAACACTTTTGAGATACGTGTTTTACTATTGGTGTAATTTTTAATGTCTATTTGACTATACCAACAAGTCTGTGTTCTGGCATGTGAATCCATTATGGTACTTTCAGGTTTTCAGCACAACAAACATGACCTTGTAGGCAGAATTGGTGGGGTTGTTGAACTCTTGGAGCTTACAAGAACATCATATACATGTCTTGTATGCAATAAAACGTTTGTCTCTTCATTTTCATCATTCGACATTCAGATTTTGGGTTCCAATTTTACTTGTTTGGGCATGAAATTATATACACAGGTAGGTGAACCCATCTCAATGTAGAACTATGTTATTTCTCTTAAAATCAAATTTTAGAATATGTCGTTCAAAAACGATAGATATTCTTCTCACTTTGTCATTTTAAACATTTTTATTGCTTTAATCTGTAAATTTTCTATTATAACATGAACGTTTAGACTATATAGTTCTAATATGGTGTAATAGGTGTACAAGGTTTTCAAAAAGATTGGGACGACCTTGTTGGATGGATGGTCAAACTTCTAGATAGAAGAGGATGAGGTTTCATAAAATGATGTCTCTCTCTCGATTGTTTTATAGTCATTGCAATAGTTTGCAACTTGAGGCCTTGGCCAACCAGTTTCAGACTCTTAACCATTTAATGATATATGACTTATGGCTTTTAGGAAAGCATAAAAAATGCCATGACGTCTACACTCCAACCTCATATGATTAAAACAACATGCTTTGTCACTTTTTACTTTACCATATGGTATATATTTTGTAAAAGAGGCATCCTTAAGTCAAACGGTGTTTTATTTGGAAAAAATGTATTTGCACTAGATGATGGATGTCTTATGCTTGCCTCTATGACTCCCGAGTTATTGAGGGATCATGAATATATGTCAGTCTGGGATATGATATCCTCTCTAAATCAATGATTTAATTACAGGCTAGGAAGGAAACGTTGAAACAGTCAAGGCATTGCATGCTTATATGATGACTGAGTGTCATCAGTTGGTGCCTATGTTTTGAAAATGAAGGGGTACATTGACTAGTTGTCCCGTCTAGGCTTCCCATTGGAAAATGAATTAGCAATCAATCTGACTTTTAATTCTATACCTAAATCATACGACTAGTTCACCCTGAACTATAATATGAACGGTTTGGATGAGTCTCTTACAGAGCTTCATGACATTGCTTAAAACTACTAAGAGAAGTATAAATTCCAAATTGATGATCAAATCTAAAAGTGGGATTGTCAAGAAAAGGAGGGTGGTTGTCGAGGGAAATACAAAAGTTGGAAGTTCCAACAAAGATGGTAAAGAAAAGATTCTCAAGGATTCAATATGGTACAACTGCAATCACAAAGGGCACCAGAAGAAGGCAGAGCAAAAGAAGTAGAAGGATTGTCGGAGCTTCGGGTATGTTTATCATTGATTTCTTCACTTCGATTATGACTCTTGTGTATAGGATATCTGGTAATAATACTCATATTGTACTATTTTACTTGAGCACTTAGAAAGGAACCATATGTTGTTTCAAACTCTCTCAGTGATTTGATGATAACTTTTTATAGTTAGTGAAAATACTTGGTTCTTTGTTTCACACTTTTAGCGATCATCATTGAGCATGTTCAGTGATCACTGAACATGTATTGTAAGAGCCTTAGAACTCAAGTATTTTCCTCAAAAACAAAACTTATACCAAAGAAATCTTCTGCAATGTTGAAAATAGAGTTGAAGATTGAGACCAGTCTATTTGTGATTTAAAGCGGACATTCAGTAATAACAAGACTGTCTATAACAAGTGTGAAATCTAATCAAGACTTAACGATAGCTAAAGAGTCTTCAACAATTCCTTATTGTTACTCATCAAAGTGTTTTGCTTAAAAAGACTAGTTTTTGTTTTATCCCTTTTTGCAAAGGATATAACCCATGCTTCCATTAGACAAAGGTATATGTACAAATCACTTTATTGTTCCCCACGTGCTTACCAAATATTTGAAACAACTGTTCATGTGTGGCCAAAAGCCTGCCACATCCAATGAACAAGGACAACCATTCCACCTTTCTCTTGACACGTAGATTGTACCTTTTGAGGTGCATTAAATGCAATTGGTACAAAAATAGCTGAGAAGACTTATTCTCAGCAACGCCTTCTTCCTTTAAACTCCCTTCTTTCTAATTCTTATCTTCTTTGTGCACCTATTTAGTGATTCTCATATATTGTTTAGATTAGGTTTTACCTTATCTTATTGATCTTCTTAGATCAATAAAAGAATTTAAAAAGTGAAATTTCTGTGTTTGTATTCACCTTTTTCTACAAACTGTTATACCTTTAAACTCTTGTAGAACCCTTATTGGGACCAACCCATCCCAAGGCAACCGGTCAAGGGAATCTCGATCAGGGCATTAGCTTTGCAGGGGGAGAGGCCTTCTTAGAACCAACAATCCTACTCAAACAAGGGCAAATGGTTAGCTGAAGAGAACTTGACGATTCTTCACAATGTTAAGGGGGAGCTCAACTTACCTAAGGTAACTAATGCTTTAACCCTTAACCTGAACCTCTTGATCCTCTACCCTTATCTATCCTTCTTCCCTCAACTTCTTATGTAGTTGACTCACCCCTTCCCCCACCAAAATTTCCAGCTCATTTTCTCCTCTACATGAACTCCCTCCTTGTTCCTCAGATTTTTTTGAACGCCAAAGATTTGCTTTCTTTCTACCAACCTGAATCTGAAGCTGAAGACAATCATGCTGACCTGATTCTTAGAGGACCTTTATGAGCTAAATTTCATATATGTTCAGAAGTATAAGAGTCAAAGAGGATGGCGCAGCTGATCTCCCAGCTCGGCAGTACCAGGGTAAAAATACCTCTTCGTACCCCTAATGATGACTTCAACTTCCTCACTAAAGATGAATGTAAGGAAGCTCTGAAAGCTGAAGAGGAGATGGAGATGCATCAAAGGAAGATGAGGGAAATCATTGAGTTGGCAAATGCTCTTGCCAATGAAACTCATGCTCAAGGGAAGTTCCAAAGAAACAATCCTCTCGGTGCTCAAGACTACTACTCTTTGAAGCTGAACAAGAACATCAAAAGGAGCTTGCATTGAAGGATGGTGAGCTAAAATGGCGCAAAGAAAAATCGAGACAAGGTTGAACAATCAGCGAATAACTAATGTCATTAACTTGAGACGAATGAAGGATGATGATCTTCTTGTATCAATGGTCATCTTGAGAGAAGATCACAGTGCTATCACTGAATATCCTTATTTTCTGAAGATGTATGGGTTCTATGAATGACTGGAGATTTGACATGCCATCCAAAAATCCAATCTAAACACAAGGAGTATATCGAAAGGTGTGCTGAACGATCTATTCAACAGAATCTCCAAAGTTATCGATATCCCTCCTTTGCCTCAAAAGATCTCTCACCGAAGAAAGGTGATACCTGACGCTGAATGTCACACCCCAAAAAGGGGTAAATAAATAAATATGAAAAGAAAAGGAAAATAAAATAAAATTGGTTTTTATTTTATTAGACCAAAAAATGTGAAGAAAACATGAAAAAAGGGTCAATCATGTCTTTTAAGGAAAGTGGGAAGTGATGAATGAAATTTATGTTCAATCAGATAAAAAATGAAAGGAAATGTCAAAACAGGGGTAAAAGAGTAATATTGGGCAAAACATTGAAGCCAGGGGGCTGAATGTCGTCACCTAATAGTTTAGGGCGTGTTTCAATGTCAGATTCCTCATGTTTGAGGGACCTTTTTTTTGTTGACAAAATTACAAATCTATTTGAGAATAAGATTTTAGAAACAATGGCTGATTTGGGAGGCTCCTATTGGGTAGTTTAGTCATCAAATAAGCCAAAAATTTGCAGGTTTAAGTAGTTGAGACTTTCCTCTACATTTTTCTTTCAAGAATATCGAGTTTTGGCTAAGAATCAAGGGACAAAGCAGAGCTCGAAAGTCCCCATCCAAAATCTCTATTATTGACGACTTGAAGTAAAATACTCAAATCAAATTTCGAGTTCTTTATATGGTTAGCTTCATTTTTAAGTCTTCTATCGGACCTTAGTAGCCTTATGTCTTAAATTTTAGTATTGGAGGTCCAATTTTGAGTTTTTTACGATTTTCGAGTGGTTTTTGGACCTGAACTTTAAATGAGAAAATAAGACTCAATACTTGATGGTTTTCAATGATTATTGTTTCTATGGTTGAGGAAAATCATCTTTTTAGAGTTTTAGCAAAAAGAATCAGCAAAAATGAACAAAAAACGAGGCCAAGCTTGAAGAAGTTGATGCCCTGACAGCCCTTCAACGGGTCAAAAATACGGATTCGGGTCGGACGAGTGTAGTTCTCGGGTCTGACTTGGATCTGGTTAAGATGGAGATTGGGCTGAATGCTTTATGGGCCGAGATCTTCCCCTTTTTTAGGTCGTTTTATCTTTTGGGCTAGCATTTAAGTCCATATATATTTGGGTTAGTTATTTAGATAATTAATTAAACCAACAATTAATTATTTTGGACGATATCAAATTTATTTATATTGGTATTTACTTTATTTTGGACTTAGAATGATTAAGTTATAATTATTTAGATTATGTTAATTAATTAATTTAGTTTCTAAATTAATTAATATATTAATTTAAATTATAATTTAATTGATATATCAATTTTTTAGAATATTAATATTAATTAATTATTTATTTTCTAAGGATAAAAGCTTATAATAAATCATTAAATTATTTCAAAGATTTAATTATGAGATTAAAGCGTCATATTTGAGTTGAACATTTATTTGGACGATGTAGTTTGTAGAGATGGATTTATAAGTTTATAAAATGATGTTTTGACGTTTTAGGACGCCATCGAGTTTTAGACTTGGGGTTTGACTAAAGTTAGTCTGAGTTGACCGAGTTGACCAAAGGTTGGTTTTTGACACACTTGACCCACGCGGATTTTAATGATGAGGTCAAATGAAGTTATTTGAGGCATATTAGGATGCTCGGATATGGAATTTGACTTTAGGTTGGGTCAGATTGACCATAGTTGACTTTTAGAGAAATTAAGTCATTAATGAGATATTAGGGTATGAAATATGTAGGTATTTGGTCAAGAGTTATCGGTAATCAATCTACATGCAATTAGGCGAGTCTTCATCAGACTTACAATGGGATACATACCTACGTACAAATTTATTTTGAACATTATGTGATTTGTATAGTGATGTGTACGTATGCATAATGTTTCAGTTTACATATATTATACAATATATTTTACATGTATGTTATTTATGACCACTTGCATGCAATATGTTTATTTTGTTTTCTATTAACTCTAGCATGTTATTTCACATGAAAGTTTTATGATTGATTTTGACGGGTGGGTATTTGATCAGTAAGTCACACAACAAGTGGCACATATTTATAGTGGGTGTGCAGATAGGTGCATGCCGGACAACCTAGAGAATACCAGTAACTAAATGATTTATACCCGACCAGACAGTTTATGAGATCTCTTTTCTTTCAGTGTTGCATGTTTAGAGAAAACGCATACTATTTGGTGTAGAGCTTTACAAGTTGAATATGTATAATGTGAAATGATTTTATTTACGCAAATCATGAACACACTGAGCTTTATAGGCTGATTATGTATGCATCTCAAAAAGGTTTAAGGTTAGATAAAGCAAAAGGGCACACATAGAGACTTCTCTTGTTCATTTTAAGTTCAATATTACATTTAGACATCTATGATAGATAAATTTTGTAACGTAATATGGTATAGGACGAATTAGCATGTAAGTTACATATTTATCTCTTTTAAGTCTTCCTCTATAAACGGTTTTAGTTACCCGTCATTTTGAAGTATTATTGGAGAATTTGTTTTATCTTACGTAACATTTCTCATGGCAAAAATATAGGTGTAACATTGAAGAAGGACCAACATACGAGAATGAACACAAGACAAAATTTTCTACGGAAGAACTTCTCAAACATGTCAAGTTTCCAGACTTGTCAATATTGAACCTGTCCCTACCAGTGAAAATCCCTTACACTCTGAACACCATGCATGTCAAACATGAGTATGGACCATGTTCATAGATTATGAAGGACAATACCAGGTTCAGCGAGTGTCAGAACTCCAATGCTGGCCTACACACCACCTGGAATATCTTTGTTCATGGCTTGATGAAGATCTATTTGGTTAGATGATGGATATCAAGATCAGAAAGGAGATGTTGAAGAAAAAGAATCAAGGAGAGGATATCACTGATTACATTGCTCTTAATGATCTTAAATGATAGGTTTTATCTTGTAACTTGTTGAGTTTTTCTACTTTCAGTGTATTGTACTTTAATTTCTTGTAAATTACATTTAAATATTGTGAACTTTAGTTTCAATATTAATGAAATTTCAATGAAGTGCATTACTCCATCTTATATAATGAAAAAGATCCGTCAACACAGTAAATGAAACAAGTATTTTATAAGTTCTATTCCATTACTGAATCTTACTTAGCAATTATCTTTCTATTGCTTTGTCATCATCAAATAGGGGGAGATTGTTGATCCAAAGTCTCTTGGTGATTTGATAATGACCCTTTTATATTTAGTGAAAATACTTAATTTTATTTATCTCAGTTTCATCTGTTCATGAGATCGCTGAACATGTATTGGAACAACCTTAGAACTTAAATATTCATCAAAGACAAAACTCGTACCAGAGAAAAATCTTCAGCAATGTCAAAGATAGAACTAAAGATAGTGACTAGTCTACTCATGATGTGAATCGAACATTTAGTAATAACAATATTGTCTAAAACAAGAGTGAAATCTAATCAAAACTCAACAGTAGCTTAAGAGTCCTCAGCGATTCCTTACTATCACTGATCAAAGAGTCTTGTTTAACAAAGTTTTTGTTTTATCCTGTTTTGCAAAGAATATATCCCATGCTTCCACCAGACAAAGGTACATGTACAGATCACTTTATTGTTCCCCATGTGCTCACCAACAACCTGAAGCAACTATTCATATGCAGCCAAAAGCGTGCCACATCTGATGAACAAGGACAAACATTCCCATTTTTTCTTGACACATGGATTGTGCCCTATGAGTTGTATTAAATGCAATGGGTATAAATAGCTGAGAAAACTTTTCTTCTCAGCTACGCCTTCCTCTTCCTCTAAACTCTCTTCTCCCTTTTATTTTTATCTTCTTTGTGCATCTACTTAGTGATTTTTATAGATATTTTAGATTAGGTTTTACCTTATCTTATTTCGCAACAATCTGTAAATTATGTATTGATCTTCTAATATTAATAAATGAATTTAAAAAGTTGTGTTTGTATTTAACCCTCCCCACTTCTACAAACTGTTATACCTTTAAAATTCTTGTACAACCCTTATTGGGACCAACATTATATGTACCTACATTTATTTTCTAAATTACAAAAACATGATTTATGTTTACTTTAAGTGATAATGGAATTTTAGTTTACCTTAACAATGTTTGTATTTTGTGGCAAAAAATAATTTAATGGTAAAAGTTGTAATTACAAATCAAACAAATTAAGCAGGACTTAAATTAAACCTACTTGTGACATATAAACAAGAAATGCATAGCCAAACTCCAGGCCAACGGAGTGTTGGCTTCATGTGATGATTCATATGATACATGCGAGCCTTGTTTAGAAATACAAAAGTATTTTAAAAGACAAATCTGAGAGACCTACAAAATTGTTAGGAGTTATCCATACTAATGTATATATGCCTTTCAATTCAGTCACAAGAAATAGGTCATCACTACTTCAAAGATTTTCAGAATGGAGTAGAAAAACAACTTGGGTAAAAAAATAAAAACGCTTTGGTCGGATAATGGTTGCAAATATCTAAACCAAGAACAAATTGATTAGCTTAGAGATCCTGGGATAGTATGCCAACTAACTCCTCTAGGAACACCATAATGGTGTGTCCGAAAAGGAGAAATGTAACCTTATTGGACATGGTTCGCTCTATGATGAGTCGTACCACTCTTCTTAAAAGGTTTATGGGTTATAACCTAGAAACAACTGCCCAAATACTGAACAATGCATCAACCAAAAGGACCAATAAAACCCCATATGAATTATGGACTATTAAGATCCCAAATCATCTTATATGAGAATATGGGGTTTTGATGCTTATGTTAAGCAAGAAACTTCTGCGAAGCTTGATCTGAGGTCTGAAAAGTGCATCTTCATGGGATAACCAAAAGAGATAATTGGATAATACTTTTACAAGCTCAATGAGAACAAAGTATTTGTTGCGCAACGTGATGAAT